CCCCCCCCCCCAAAAAAGATTTGATTAAACAATAAATAGTTGTCAATTTCCAAACATTAAACCACACCCGTGGTATCCGCCTATTTGTAAAGAACACGTGAATGCGCCTCGCGCGGCAGTGCGAGTGATGTATCTATCTATCCATGAAGTCTTTACTACAAAGATGGCGGATTTCCTGCCCTCCCTGACGGCTATAGTTTGTATTCCCAATTGTCTTCTATCCAGCGGCGAAATTGACCAAATTAGAAAGTCTAAGGAGATCGATAAAAGCTTGTCTCGAGAGAAGACGTATGTGAAGAAACTGGTGAAGATCTTGCTGTTAGGAGCAGGCGAAAGTGGCAAGTCAACTTTCCTCAAACAAATGCGCATAATTCATGGGCAGGACTTCGATCAGCGGGCCAAAGAAGAGTTCCGGGCTACAATCTACAGCAATGTTATCAAAGGTACCACGCCAGTAGTTTGAAATCGAAAGAGACAAGTTCATTATTAAAAAAAAACACTTTGATGAAAGCTCAGTTTTATTGTAGCTGCAGGTGGAAGTGTTTTATCGACTTCTTTCGCGTAACTTACGCAAACTTTCGATTGCTCACCCAGCCCATAGACGACGCGAAGGACAGTGGTTTTAAATGTTGGGTTTCTTGGACTCCAGTTATACATATATCAGATAAAGTATCTGGACTTCGAAAACGGACACGACTGTTTCGAAAACATTTACTTATGTTGCCTATGTTCAAATCTCACTGAAAACTTTAAGTAAACTTGGCGCCTCGAGAGAAAGTACAGCGCCTACTTTGGTCTGTGTTAGTCATCTGGATGTGTGATTGCTTTATGACATTATTCTGATATATGAATCTCAACTGACTCTTGAGACATACCTGACAAAACAGATAAAATGCTACAGATCTCTACAGGAAGGAAAAGTAAGCTTTTTAGTCATGTTTAGGTTTGATCTCCTGCTTCCACTTTATGACAAAATGCTTGTTTTTCCTCAATATTAGTCAACACATTTCAATATAAATATTTATTTAATATGTATTATAGATATCCACTTACATGAATTAATTAATTAATATAAGGATGAGGTTTTGATAAATTTTAATACGGCCTTTCAAAAACGTATTACAAAACTATTTTTAAAACCATAAAATCATTTCTGTTTTTCTAATGTTACTAGCTACTAAAATTAGCTACTTAAAATTCAGGAAAATTAGCTCCTAAACAATTTCTTTGCCATTTGGGTGCTGCAATCGACATGCATATTATTACAGTAACTTTATATAATAAGTATGTTTTGTTTTTCACTTTATAATAACTTTTTGTATACTGTATATTACACTTAGTTATAGAACTCACTGTAGCCCATCTGACCTCGTTGACCTCATAAAAAGGGGAAATATAAAAAAAGGATTTTAATTTTTATAAGTTTGATGATGTTGACAAAAAATGACTCAGTCTGAGGATGCATAGTAAAACAATGCCATTTCATTTTCTTTTTAAGGTACATGATGTCAGCAGCCTCAAATATATTTTTATAGTAACATGATTAATGCAATATGTCAACATCTCTAATATCTCTTTTTAGGTATCCGAGTGCTGGTGGATGCCCGTGAGAAGCTGCACATCCCTTGGGGAGATCCTGAGAATCAGGTTCACGGGGAGACAGTGATGGGCTTTGACACCCGCTCATCCATGATGGCCAAAGGGATGGTGGAGACCAAAGTCTTTCTCAACTACCTGCCCTGCATCCGTGCCCTGTGGCATGACAGTAGTATTCAGAATGCTTATGACAGACGGAGAGAGTTTCAGCTGGTAAATATAAAATGATTACTCATTATTTTATATTTATTATTAATTATTGTGCATCGTTTGACGTGATCATTTCAATTGTTCTTAGTGCTAAAGTTTTGGATATAGAATCCACTCAATCTTTTTCAAAGGATTTGTGTAATTGTGGGGACTGTGAACTTGAAGGAATGTTGATCTGTTGTTAAACAGCTTGGTATTATGAATCATGGCAGATAAGCACAGTGTATTTGCACAATTATTCCTATCAAGCTTTTGCGCCAAAGCGTTAATCATGGTGAAATATTTGCTTATATATTTCATATATTTGGAATGTAATTAAGCAGCCATTTTTTTGATATTATTGGAATGATTATGTTTAAGAAATCATGTTTGTTGTGTGTGTAGCGTGGGCATTGGTTGAAACCTGAGAGTAATGCACCGGTATGAGTTGAACACAAATGAAGTGACTTTACTCATGACAATGAGGGCATTTTGTCTGTGCATGAGTGTAGTTTGCATTTCAGTTATGAAGATAAGATCATGCTTGTTCAGGGGTAGAACCCTTGTGACTGAGATTAGGATTTAGCTCATATTTTCCAACTAAAATCTCCATTGTCATACAAGATGTGATTTAAGACACGTTAATCTGTATTTATTTAGCGATAAACATTCATTTTTGGTGACCAAGTCACTTTCTCTACTTACTGCTGATTTGCATACACCACAAAGCAAGCCAATAAGCGGCCATGCTGCAGAGCCTCATTTTCCTGATTTTGTGTTAGGTAAAATTGCTTCTGAATAAGACCAGATTAACCTAGTATATCATAGTAGGGTCTGCCTTGGACCAGAAGATCTGGTGGAAAATATTGTATGATTATGCTGTATTGTTTGTGTGTGAGTGTAAAAAAGAGAGAAAAAACTAATAACTCACAATTATTTTTATTTGATTTATTTGATTTTTGGACAGGGATGTATAGAGTAACAGGAAATGGATAAAATAGGAAAATTGGGACACAGCACAAGACAAATTCAAAGTTGCACCCTCTGCACCATAGCTCACACGCTGGAGACCTAATAATGATTGTGTGTATCTTTTTTTATCTTCTTAGGGTGAATCTGTGAAGTATTTCCTGGACAATGTGGATAAACTTGGACAATTGGTAAAAAATAGCATTTTATAAATGTTAATGTCTTCTTCAGGTAACTAGATCACAAAGTAGTTGATAGTATACCTGTATGTACATGATACAATTTAAAGAACACACATGAGATGTACACAGAATTGTTTTGGGTGTACTGACATTTTTTTTGGCCGATATATTGGTTACTGGTACTTATTTATTGCATTGTACCATTAATACATGTTAGGGGTGGGTGACATGACCAAAACCTTATCACAATGAGTAATTCCATTTCACAAAAACTATATATCACAATAGTTATTTTTGCTTGAAAAAGGTTATGATATCAAAATTTGATTTGTTATTGATTGAAGTGTTGTTAATTCTTGATACAAATTTGGATATCACAGCAATAACCAATACTAGCTTAAAGGGTTAATTCACCAAAAAATGAAAATTAGCCTGAGTTTTACTCACCCTCGAGGCATCCTAGGTGAATATGCCTTTCTTCTTTCAGACGAATCCAATCGGAGTTGCATAAAAAATTGTCCTGGCTATTCCATGCGTTATCATTGCAGTAGGCAGGTGCTTTTGTTCAACAGTCCACAAGACATCAAATAATGTGTGCGCATCTGTAATAAAACGTGCCTCACACGGCTCCGGGGGGGTGAATAAAGGCCTCCTGTAGCAAATCAATGCGTTTTTGTAAGAAAAATATCCATATTTCAAACATAATAAACACTTTTTTCTCACTTCCGCTTACTGTCATACATGCAAGCCGTTTCGGGTGGATGACGTAGGACCTAGGTGTCGCGCGCGCGCCTGTGAGATATGCTAGTCTTGCGAATTTGCTTACAAGAGCAAAGGAAGCAAAGTTTCCTTACTTTAGCAAAGGAAAACCAGTCTCCTCTTGGCTTATATCTAAATCATCTGACATTTTTCTTTACAAATCCTCGTTTTCTGCTAATTCATGACGACATTTTGTTTTGTTCTCTCTCCGCGTTCGTCACTAATCACGCTAAGCCGACGTCCTACGTCATCCGCCGGAACGGCTTGCTCGTATGACAGTCAGCAGGACACATGCAATATCCCCCCAATGTTTATGTTCACTTAAATACAGGCAAATGTTTACATGAATACTAGCCAAGACAGATGTTTTGACATCACATTCTGTGTATTTGACTATTTAATTACAATAAGCTGCAAAAGAGAACTCAATTTAGTACTTGCATGATGTTTTCTGTTTGTGCACTTTGGTTGTATGGGCACAGAAATGGTCACTGAGACAGCATTCGAGTACCTCATTGAGTTCTCATTTGTGGCTTATTGGGCTTTAAACGGTTTAAAATAGCTTGAATGTTTAAACTGGCGAGGCTTAAAAACATGGAAATAATAAACGTTTGTGACAGCGCAGCACTGCAATGTGACATGAGCGTGATGGAGACAGAATTCACTAATTTCTACTGTTTTTTTTGTGTCTATGAGCATACATCTCTAATACAAGTACTACATTTTTATAAATGTGTAGGGTCTTGTTATGGTAGTAGTATGGGTATTATGGCAGTCTGATTTTTGTTTTTCATTTAATCTGCAGGACTACTTGCCTAGCCAAAAGGATATACTGCTGGCACGAAAGCCCACCAAGGGTATCCATGAGTACGACTTTGAAATCAAGAATGTTCCTTTCAAGATGGTGGATGTGGGAGGGCAGCGGTCGGAGCGCAAGCGATGGTTTGAGTGCTTCGACTCTGTGACCTCCATCCTTTTCCTAGTCTCATCCAGTGAATACGATCAGGTGCTCATGGAAGACCGTCAGACCAACAGGCTCACGGAGTCACTCAATATCTTCGAGACTATCGTCAACAACCGCGTCTTCGCCAACGTCTCTATCATTCTCTTCCTCAATAAGACAGACTTGCTGGAAGAAAAAGTTACGAATGTGAACATCAAGGACTACTTCCCCGAGTTCACAGGGGATCCCCATAATCTGCAGGATGTTCAGAAGTTCCTGGTCGAGTGCTTCCGTAACAAGCGTCGTGAACAGCAGCAGAAGCCCCTTTACCATCACTTCACCACCGCCATTAACACCGAGAACATTCGTCTCGTCTTCCGTGATGTCAAAGACACCATCTTGCACGACAACCTTAAACAGCTTATGTTACAATGAAAGGCACCGATTGCCCTTTAAGAACATTCCATTTTAATTAGGTTTTTACTTTATTTAATACAAAGTGGTTCAATACATATTGTGGTTGAAGAAAAATAGATAGTATAATTATGCAACTTACATTTTTTTTTTGCATATTATTACAGTCATATATATGCAAAGAATTTGATATCAAAGCAACCTTTTTAAGCTGCTTGTAGCCATATCAAATATGCCAAGGAATGGTCCTCAGTTATTCACCAAAATGCTGTAATTCTGATCGTTTACTGTATGTTTATGAGCGCATATTTTCTTATAATAGAACTCTTAACACTCCTGTAACCCATTGTCTTAACACCTGGTTTTGGCAAAGCTTTTCAAAAAGAAAGTGTGAGAACTCAGGGCTTTAAATATTTAATTCAAAGAGCTCTTCTGCTCCAGTCAGTTTATGGGCTTGATGTGTCTGGTTATATAAGGCCCCAATGTTGGTTTTTTGAAAGTAGAACGTGGTTTCACTGCCTTTGTCTTCCCACACTCAAAATAACTTTTACTTGCACTTGCATCATGACATTAAATTAGTACAATTGAGGTACTTTTGTATGAAGTACTTATTTGTCATATTACATTTTTCATATGTAAAGGGAAAGTCTCTTTGTTTGCTGTTCAAGCCTGTACAGAATGTCTGTGCAATTTCTTTTGCTCTGACATTTCCTCCCCAAGCTGTATATTTTACACACTAAGGTAATACCATGCATTTATTGTGCGTATTCTAGAAGCCCTGAAATTCAATATTGAATTTTTATTTTTTATTTTTTTTGATGAATTCACTTTAAAAATGGAAAGTAGCCTTATGTCTTTGTTCCTGTGTAGGTTAAAGTGGACAGCTTTAGCTCAGGGTTTTATAAAATGACTGTTAAAGCAGTCCAGGTGTATTTTTGTGTATTGGTTACTGCAGACATTTTTTTTAAACGGGCCAAGCAAAGTCACCTTTGCCTTAAATGTCTGTAGATCACCCAAAGCTGGTTTAATGCAAGATAAATTAAAATGTGTTGATGGAGAAGTCTTAATGTAATCTTAATGAAAACAAGCACTGTAATCTGACTGTTGGTAGTAAATTGATATTAACTGATTGCCTGAATTAAGGTGTTTATGTATAGAATCTGTACAAAAAATTTGCTCATGCAATGCTGTCTATCTTTGTCATGGCCATAATCACTTGCTTTTTGTATAGTGTGTTTTCTTATTGTTTTTTGATCACATTTGTGTAATTCTGTTTATTAAATCTGATTGTTTTATCAGAATGGTTGCGTATTCATTTTACTGTTGTCCTCTCATTTCAGAAAAGAAAAATGAGGCTATATTGACCCAGCATCCCACTAATAAAAAGTCTAGCACTTCAGAATACCTACAGTATTTAATATGGCCTTCTAGGTATAGTCTGTAACACATTTATGCGCAGTTATTTTGTTACTGCATTATGTATGAAATATTACAAATTATAAACTGGGATAATTACTCATCCTTCTCGGAAAAACCAGCATATGCTGGTTAGGTATGTTTTGACGCTGGGATGCTGGTTTAAGGACCAGCTTAAACCAGCATCCCAGCATCAAAACATACCTAACCAGCATATGCTGTTTTTTTCAACAGGGGCAGGTCCAATAAGTGTTACTTTTTACAGTGTGTAGATATAATATACTTATTTCTTTATGTCTGTATAGTTTAAATAAATAAAACTAATTACTGTTTATTGGTTAAAAAATAAATAGACTGGGACTTTACGTTTGAAAACCACAATGGCAGCCAAAGTGTATATCTAAATGCGGCGTATGCAGGCAGCCCAGGTTTGACGTTGTTTATGGTTTCTGTTGACTTTTTTCAGCGTTTTATCTGAAACACATCAACTGAGTCCAGTCTTCGACCTTTATCCTAGGACACATTTAAAGGTAGCTTTGCTTTATTAGTATGTGTTGACATGGGCTTCCTCTTTCATTTAGGGTAATCTTAGGGTAATCTTTTAGCGCTAATCAATGTTTGTTATGCTAATATCAAGTCAACTCGAACTGTGTTGTCATTCAGTCTGTTTATGAAGTCGTGGTGCTAAATATAAAAAATGGCCTTTGTTAATAATTAATAACGTGACTTTATCGCATGTATAGGGTATCGTTATATCGATATATGATACAGATAAGTTACTAACAGTGTAGCAAAAACAGTGCAAGTGTCACAGTGAACACAGAACATGACAGTACAGTTTAACACCAGTATACCCAGAACACGCATTTTAGGGTTCTTATTTTGTGTTTATTGGCTACTTGCTTGATTAATATTTTACTTTGTACATGTGTGTGTGTATTTTTATGGACAGATGCAGGTTATTGAGCATCCTGTTGAGAGACTGCACACTGCTCTACTGTCCACACGGAAAGATCTAATAGAAACATACCAACAATTCAGCAGACCAGAGAAGGCACTTTTAGAAGAAGGACTCCTGCCTGGCAATTCACTTTTCAACCCCATCACCATTCACTCAGACTCAGACTGGATTCCTGCACATCCAGAGGATCCTCAAGACTTTCAGACTTTTTATATCAACCCTTACCGCCGTTCTCCAAGCAGTGGGCATAATACCATCTACATTCAAACTATTGGTTAGAGCACTTAGTATGTAAAACAGCTTAAATGTGTCATTTGTTAGTAGTAGTATATTTACATTTGTAATTTTATCACTTCAATGCACAGGCTCTTTTGGGGAAGGAGCGCTTGTGGCAGAGCAGTATGTTGAATGGCTGAAGGACTACTGCCAGGCATTTTATTATGGACTAGTGGTCAAGCTTTTACCACCGGTAACAGTTGCTTCAACAGCCTGTTCATTTCGCATCAACGACAACACACACAACCTTCAGCTTAATGCTGGTTAGTACTGCTGCTACTGAACACAACCAGAACCACTGGCTGAGTCTGGGTCTAAGAAGCGTTTTAGCAACATTTATGAAACATTTGTCAGCATAAAATCAAAATATCTTGGTCTTATTTCGAACAAACAAATATATACATATTTTTATACACACTACACCTCAAAACTGGGGTCAGTAAAATTAATTTTTTTAATTAATTTATTTTATTTAGCAGTAAATTGATCAAAAGTGACAGTAAAGACATTTGTTGCAAAACGTTATAATTCAACAAAGAATCAATTTTTCAATGTGTCTTCAGCACAAAATCAGCATATTAAAATGATTTCTGAAGGCTCGTGACACTGAAGACTGGAGTATTGGCTGCTGAAAATCAAGCTTTGCCATTACAGGAATAAATTACAATTTTAAATATATTAAAATATAAAACAGTAATTTTATATCATAACAATATTTAACAATATTACTGTTTTTTTTATCTAATAAATGTTGCCTTGGTGAGCATAAAAATTAAAAAATCTTACCAATCCCAAACCTTTGAACAAATGTATATTTGTTATTAAAAAAATACATTGATATTCTTAAATTTTGATCAAAATAACTTACTGTTCCTCTGAAGACTTTTCTGCTGAAATTACTTTTAGTAATTAGTAATAGTTATTTAGGCAACGTTTTAGCAAGACTGAATTAAGTCTGAGCTATATTTTGGTATGTAACACCTAATTCATCCAGTCAATTAATAAAATCTGTTTTACAAACTATATATTATGGAAATAAGATTGGTTGCAAACAGCAATTCACACTGACTTGTAAGTAAACTTAATGCTTTCTTTATACGTTTACAGGAGAGCTGTTGAACTTCTTGAAAAAGAAGAAGCCCAGAGATGCTTTTTGCATTGTGGGGATCACCATGATCGACTTGTACCCCAGAGAGTCATGGAATTTTGTTTTTGGCCAGGCTTCTCTCACTGAAGGTCATTTTTAATTTAGTAGCTATGGTCTTGTTAATGCTGCAAATTTTATTGTAACTAGAAAGCAAAGTTGTTATTGTAGCACAGTGTCTTTTTTGATTTAATGGGATAGTTCACCCAAAAATGAAAATTCTGTCACTAATTCCTCACCCTCATGTTGTTCCAAACCTGAAAGAACTCCGTTCATCTTCGGGACACAAATTAAGATATTTTTGATGAAATCTGAGAGCTCTCTAACCCGCCGTAGACAGCAAGCGCCACCTAGTGCCATTTTGGAGAGTATGAGTATGCGCGTGGTGCTGCTGACATAGAACATGCGTGCACTGCGCCTTGTTTACATTCAGATGAAAGCAAACGCATGCATCGTGATACTCTCCAAAATGGCACCAGGTTGACGCAGAGGAGAAGAATTGTTGAATAAAGTCGTTATTTTTGTTTTCTTTGCACACAAAAAGTATTCTCGTAGCTTGAACCACTGATGTCACATGGACCATTTTAACGATGTCCTTACTATGTTTCTGTGCCTTGATCGTGGTAGGACCCTTGCTGTCTATGGAGGGTCAGAGAGCTCTTGGATTTCATCAAAAATATCTTAATTTGTGTTCCGAAGATGAACGACGGTCTTACGGGTTTGGAACGACATGAGGGTGAGTAATTAATGACAGAATTTTCATTTTTGGGTGAACTATCCCTTTAATAAACCTTTTGTTATTTTAGCACTTCAATGAAGTGTGAATCTTTTTGTTTCTATAGGAATGGGAGTATTCAGTTTTGCCCGATATGATGATCATTTTTACCAGAGAAGCTATGCAGGAAGGCTGAAGAAGAAAATAAAACTGAAGCAAGGAGACTACTCAGTGTTTGAGAATTACTACACTCCTCCAATCACTAGCACTCTCCTCCTCCGCTCCTGCAAGGTGAAGCGAGATGACTGGTCTTCTAAACTGCCCAAACCTCACAAAATGCATAAATATTTTTAACGATTTGTAATATACCCAATAATATATTTTGAAAACACAAAACTATGGAAGCTTGTTTTCACCAGAGGATAAAAAAAAAGAAAAAGGTAATTGCCACTTTTTTTAATCTTACAATGCTGACTTTTTTTCTCGCAATTCTGAGTAATATCTCAAGATTTCTGAGTTTTGTCTCACAGTTCATGGAAAAGTTGAGATGTTAACTCGCAGTTGTGAGAAAAATTCAGATGTAAACTTATAAAAAAAAGATGTAAAGAGAACAAAAAAGTCAGAATTATGAGAAAAAGTCAGAATTGTGAGATAAAATTTCACAATTACCCTATTTATTTTTTCATGATGTTGAGGAAATAAGCTTTCATAGAAAACAGTTTATAAATGTACTAACATTTTATTTGAACTCTTATTTATGCATCTGAGGTAGACCCTGACGCATGAGATTGGACATATATTCGGTGTGAAGCACTGCCAGTGGCTAAACTGTGTCATGCAAGGCTCCAATCACTTAGAGGAGTCTGACCGTCGACCACTTGACCTCTGCCCCATCTGTTTGCGTAAACTACAGTCTGCCATTGGATTCAAAATAGCTGACAGATACAAGGTAAGACCACACCCTTCCATAGCTGACTGTAGTTTGCAGCAGTGGATATTACTATTTGAAACACTCTCTAGTGAACTGATATAACTGAACATTTGAACATCACTAACTTAAATAAATCAGTATAGTCTGTTACTTTACAGGCCTTACTGCACTGGATTGAAGATGGAGCTGCCAGCAATGGACAACATTCAAAACCCACTCAAGCCTTCCAAGAGTATAAACACTGGTTGTATAAGTGCTTACGAATATTGGACGGTGAAAAATCATGAGCCAGCCAATATGATATTTTGCTCCCTACAAGAAATGTCAAGGCAAGTGGAGACATGCTATATGCACATTCTTGAAAAGAGCTTTGGTGAGAAAAATACAAGTAAGCATGTATGTAAATACTGCTTTTGGTTTGTATGAATGTATGGATCAAACAAAATAAAGTTTAATTTCTCTCTTTTTGTTTGATTTTTAAAATGTGAGTTACATCAGAAAACAACTTTCAGACAACAGCCTAAAAATGTTTATTTTCCAATCGGATTTAAAGATTATTATAACAATTGTGTCTGTTGTACAGAAACAGAAGACCTTACAAAACCACATATTCCCATTCCACTGAATAAACGGCAAATATAATTCCTTTCCATTATTAAATTCAAGTCAGGTGACAGTATTTCAATAACAAATATAGTTTTACTAAAGAGGTAAGTGATGAAGCAGTCTTATAAGACACTTTCACATTTGAATTTGGCATTGCATTACATTGGAAATCCTTTTGTCTTCATTTCACAGTTACATCACCCTGAGCTCTCTAAAGCCTTGAATTCACAGTTATCTCTATATAATAGAGAT